CATGAAAATTGATCTGGTTAAGCTTGTTAGAGAGGGAGTCCCAATTTCTTGTGAATTCTCTATGAGAACAGTTTCTCATATGTCTATGGCAATGGAAAAAGTGGGAAAGGCAGTTTTGTGGAATGACTTTTAAGTAGTATCGGGATCTCCTATAGGTTATTGAAAGAGATTTTAATATCATGCCATATGATTATGAAAAAACTTCTACATATACCTCCCAAGCTTCTTATTCTGAATTTAGGAATTTGATTAACTAAACTTCATTAATCTTCCTTTATTTGGTCATCAATAGACTTCGTAAAACTTGAGGATTAATTTCAGTTTTTCCCTAGTCAACAGATTTATCATTCAGCCTTATTTCGAGGTTTTGGCTCCCCAACCTTCGTTAGAAAACCCTTCCCAGTGCTACCTTGGACCACTACCCCATTGGTCTAGAACGAAATGATGTTGTTGACTGCCCCACTCATTAACGTACAAAAAACAAATGGTTCAAGGTGAACAACTTTCATGACCTTATCAGCACTAGGTGGAGTAAGGTTAATGCGGATGGTTCGGCCAGGTACAGAGTAAACACCAGGTTGGCTCATGTGAAAAAGCAAGTCAAATATTAGAGTAAGGGTTCTTAGCCAAGGAAGTTGCTCATAAGAATAGGTTGGCTTCTGAAATTGATATTTTGGATATAAATGAGGCTGTCAAGAGCCTTTCTGATACCAAGACCAAAACGAGGCAAGTTTCCAAGGTGGACCCAGCTAATTTCGTACTAACGGAGGAGATTGCCTGTAGGCAGAGATATAGAATCCTCTGATTTACGAGGCTAAAATTTGGAGACTAAATTGGTAATTTTTCCAAAAGAAATCCATCAATTTAATAAAATCTCAACAAAGAGAAAAGAAAATATTTCCTCTTTCCCTTCTTCCAATTCCACTTCATTTTCCCTCATTCAAAATGAATTTAAGTGAACCTATTGGCTTATAACAAAAATGGAAATAGATTCATACCAAGGCATCAAAAGTTAGAAAATCGCCTTCCTTTATCTGAAAGGTGTCCCTTAAATACTCCAACCGGGCAAGCAATATTCTGCAATGAAACTAAGAGTTAAACATGGCTGGCCATGCAAATTGCATCAAATAAAATGAAGCTGAAAAACCTCATTAGACTTACAGCTACTAAACCATCTGTTTTATGACAACACAAAATATACACATGAAACTTACTTGCTTAATGTATATTGGAAAGGAACACCAAACATGATCACCAGTCTACCATAATGTCGATCAAAATCAATACCTTCCGCTACTTTCCCCCTGCAAATTAAGGAAGAATTTCATCCATACAAGCAGAAGTAATTATACCATCTTTTTTTTTTTTTCCTACAGTAGGCACACATGTAGAGGTGGACATTTGGGTGGGTGACCTGCTAACCTGCCCAATCCACCCTGGATGGAGCAATAAAAATCCGTAATTAACAGGTTATAAGACGGGTAGGTGAAAAGTTATAAATCTGAAACAAGTATTGAGAAGGAATTGATTTAATGATTAACTTCCCCTGCATACGCCTGTACCACAAAGTTATATATATCAATGTTTAGTTTTATATTTTAAATTACATTTCATTTTGACTAATACTTAATATTTTTAATTAAAATTATTTAAATATTTTATAAAATTTTTAAATTAAAATTTGATAAATGAGATGGCTAATAGCTAGAAAGTTTTACCCGTGGAGCAGGTGATAGGTAGAAAACTTTCTACCTGGGGCATATGGGTTTATGTTTTTATTATCATAGCGGTTATGGAGTGACGTATTTGTCCTATACTTCGCCCATGTCCATCCCTACACCAGGAAAGTATAGGACTTGCTTTGAGAACTCATGCTGCAGTTCTTCCCCAACCAGCCATTGTACCCCCTTCCAACACAA